AGCTTCTCGTGTGCTTGCTGTTACCATGTGCCTTCCTGGTCTTGGAAGTACGCTCCTAGACGTGCTGTTCCCGGACTCGTTTAGCCAGATCTTCTGGATTGTTTTCATGGCCATCACTGTAGTGCCGTCGTGCTTGATTCCGACCCTGAAGGAGGCGGCGTCTGTGGCGTTCGTCGGTTGTCTCGGCACTCTCATCGCTGACATTATCGGCGTGAGTATCCTCGAGTGGGAGATGCGCGGCCACCCGTCCATTCCGACGCCGGACATCACGCTGCACCAGGTGCTTACGACGTTCGGCAACCTGTCACTGGCGTACGGCGCTTCCGTTGTCGTGCCCGACCTCCAGCGCCAACACTCTGATCCCACCCGCATGCCCCGTATCATCCTCGTGAGCCTGGGTGCTGGTTCAGCATTCTTCTTGGCCATTGCAATTGCTGGCTATGCTGCTGGTGGTTGCCAGCTCTCGGGCAACTTGCTCTTCTCCGTTGTAAACATCGCGGACCCGACGGTTCCGTCCGCTCTGGGTTTTATTCCCAGCCGTGGCGCTGTGATCATGGCCTACCTGTTCATGCAGATCCACATCGTCATCGCCTTCTCGACGGTAATCCAGCCGCCATTTTACATGGCTGAACGCTTCATCCTCGGCATGCACAAGACTACCACGGAGATCGAGAAGCTGTCGACCGCCCCCGACCTGTCGACGCCAGACCTTGAAGGTAACTATAACGTCTCCAACACCCCGGGCGTCACACTGCCGACTGAACAGCAGCGGAAAGAGAAGGAAGAGCAGGAACTATCAGAGTACCAGGGCGCGGGAACTGTGCTCCGTTATGTGACTCTACGTCTGTGCATCATTGCCGTGCTTGTGGCTGTTTCCATCGGCCTCCGTGACAAGTTCCTCGACCTCGTGGACTTCACGGGCGCTTCGGCCATTACAGTGTGCTGTCTCGCTCTACCTATTACGTTCTACCTCAAGGTCTTCTGGAAGGAGCTGCCCGCGTACGAGCGTATCGTTGCCATCCTAGTTATCGTCATCTGTAGTATCGTCGGTTGCTATGTCATGATCTACGCCGGCAAGAACCTCTTCAATCCGGACACAAAAACCGCCACGTTCCCGTACTGCTCTGTAGAGAGCCAAATGGAGCCGTACTACGTCCGCAATTCTACTTCCAACTAAACGTAGATCGATAGTGCATCACGTAGGATTAATCAGCCCATCAAGACTTCTATCGAATCGAAGTCCGATTCCTCAAAGCCTGCCTCCAAACACCATGTTGAGATGACTGCTGTAGATATCACCTTGAAGGAGTCTGACGGTCAGACTGACCGGTGCCCTGGCTTAGCAGTCCGTCTCTCTACTGGATGGTCTACAGCGTCCTGCCTCGTGTCCATGCGTGCAAACGCCACGCGCGATAAGAGATCGTGTGAGACCACGGTGGACTGTCTGCTTCACTTGTCCTGGTTGCACCTCGTTGCGTCTCACCAACCAGCAGACCTTGCTGCTCCGTCCTGGCCGCTCACTTTTCCTTCAGTCGCCTTCGTCACAATGGCCGCGCCTCCAGCTCGCCGCTCTCCGTTCTACACGCTCGAAGATGCCAAGATTAGCTTTAACATCTTCTGCTGCTTCTGTGGTATTGGCTCGCTGTCCATGCCATCCAACTACGCGCGCGCGGGGCCGATCTACGCTACGGTTGCTCTACTTCTGATGGCGTTCGTAAACATCTACGCGACTATCGCTCTGGCCAAGGTCATCAACGCAGCACCGCCGTCCGTCAAAACATTCACGGATGTCGGTGCCTGGGTGTTTGGCATCACAGGTCGCTATGCTGTCATGATGTCGCAGCTGTTAGTGTGCCTACTGCTATTACTAGTATAGCGGGAAAAAAAAAAAATGGGGGGGCTAGCTAATCCAAAAAAAATATTATCTTTGGATAATCGGCGATAACTTCACCAAAATAGCCTTAATTAAGTGCAAAGGGCGCGGATAGTGTGGTGTAGCGGGATCAGCAAAATCTGCGAGATGCCGGATCCAGCTTACCAACTGCACCCAGACACCGACTAACGGAGGGGGTCCCCCGATGATCCGTGTTCTGCTGAACTTTCCTCACCTTGTGTACCCGTCGGTAGGGCGGGATCTTGCTCTCTCGGTAACTTCCGAAGAGTTCAAGTGGTGAAGCTTGAGCGTCTTGGCGAGACGTGGGGATGGGGTGGAGCAGCAGTGGAAAATCTTCACTCTGCGTCCGTGGATTGTCCGTATCCTAAGCGAATATTCGAGCTTATGGATCCGGGGCCTAGATCGTGGATCTGGCCGTAGGGCTGCCTTACGGGTGTGTTCCCTTGCCTTTGTAGTTCCTTTGCGTCGTACTTGCCGCCTCCTGTGACGGGATCTTGAAAGTTGAGAGCCCCTAGGGTGTAACCGACCAAGTAGTAAATTCGGTTAACCTGTCGGATCTGCACAAGTAAAGGAAAAGCTCACTAGGTTGTAGGATCTGGCCAATGTATTATCCAGTTATCACTACCAACACTAGATTCGCAATTCCCAACCTTCTCGGAGCTCGTACGGCCAATGTAGTTCCGGTTCCTGAGGGCAGGAAGGCACCTGCGTGTCACTGTGCAAAATTAGAGTCTGTATTGATATTTAAGCCTATACCTGCCTGGATTTCTACCTTTCTATGTCTTTTCATCTGCTAAATCCCTTACCAGGCTCGGCTGCATGTCCCTTCTTCCCTTGACCCATCATCCCAGCTGTATTATCTTCAGATCCACCGGATCCATGACGTAATCATCATGGTCACCCTATTATGGGTACACTCATCCGGATCCAGGTCGCTTGGATCCACTTCACTGTAAGTTTGCACTCGTCGTCGATCTGAGCTCTCCCATCATCCAACATCATCTCGCGACCGTCTGTGATCTCCATTGTCCCACGAAAGTTCGAGATCCACTGTATCCATCATCCCTATACCCTGGATTCAGGTCCCTCCAGGCGGGATCCTCCCTCCTTGCATCCGAACTCGGAAGTATGGGATCCGGGGTACCTCGCGGTGGATCTTGACTCTTCATTAGCCGTGGCTATTAGATCCACCTTCAGAGGGCACCGACCATCCTTCCTTCATAGGATCCACACTCGATCCACTCTTGTATAGTATATCCCATATCCATTTAAGTGAATCCAGGTAAGGGTGGATCCGAGGTAAGTCTTGGTGGATCTTGCCCTCTCGTACATCGCTCATATCAGATCCATCGTCAGTCCATACGGGGTGCTGCTCCCCATGGCTAATCCACCACAGGCAACTTGCATCCGTGCCAGCCAACCCAAATCCTCTCTAA